AGACTAGTGCACAAGCTGGAGATGCAGGCAGGAGTGAAAGGGAAGGTACTCCACTGGATAAGGGAGTACCTAAGCAACAGGACACAGCGAGTCACTGTGAGGGGTGAGGTCTCAGAGTGGCGAGGCGTCACCAGTGGAGTCCCACAGGGATCAGTCCTTGGACCTATACTGTTTCTGATATATGTAAATGATCTCCCAGAAGGAATAGACTCGTTCCTCTCAATGTTTGCTGATGATGCAAAAATTATGAGGAGGATCAAGACAGAGGAAGATAGTATGAGGCTACAAGATGACCTAGACAAACTGAAGGAATGGTCCAACAAATGGCTACTAAAGTTCAACCCAAGTAAATGTAAGGTAATGAAACTAGAAGGAGGAACTAGGAGGCCAGACACTGGATACCGAATGGGAGATGAAGTCCTTCACGAAACGGACAGAGAGAAAGATCTAGGAGTTGATATCACGCCAAACCTGTCTCCTGAAGCCCACATCAAAAGAATAACATCAGCGGCCTATGCGAGGCTGGCTAACATCAGAACTGCTTTCAGAAACCTGTGTAAGGAATCCTTCAGAACCTTGTATACCACATATGTAAGGCCAATCCTGGAGTATGCAGCCCCAGCATGGAGCCCGTACCTTGTCAAGCACAAGACGAAGCTGGAAAAAGTTCAGAGGTATGCCACTAGGCTAGTCCCAGAACTAAGAGGCATGAGTTATGAGGACAGGCTGCGTGAACTGCACCTCACGTCGCTGGAAGACAGAAGAGCTCGGGGAGACATGATCACCACATACAAAATTCTCAGGGGAATTGACAGGGTAGACAAGGATGGATTATTTAACACGGGTGGTACACGCACAAGGGGACACAGGTGGAAGCTGAGTACCCAAATGAGCCACAGAGACATTAGAAAGAACTTTTTCAGTGTCAGAGTAGTTAGTAAATGGAATGCACTAGGAAGTGATGTGGTGGAGGCTGACTCCATACACAGTTTCAAATGTAGATATGATAGAGCCCAGTAGGCTCAGGAATCTGTACACCAGTTGATTGACAGTTGAGAGGCGGGACCAAAGAGCCAAAGCTCAACCCCCGCAAGCACAACTAGGTGAGTACAGAGCTATTAGCTCATAGACCCCGCCTTTCTAACAAATTTATTTTTCCTCTTATGGCTACTACACGTAATTCTCTAACACGCGCGCACACACGCACAGGAGAGACTACGGGAATTAAACCTCACTTCGCTGGAAGACAGAAGAGTTAGGGGGGACATGATCACCACATTGAAGATTCTCAAGGAAAATGATAGGGTAGATAAAGACAGGCTATTTAACACAAAGGGGCACACGCATGAAGTCACCAGTGGGGTCCCACAGGGATCCGTACTTGGACCTATCCTGTTACTGATATACGTAAATGATCTCCCAAAGGGTATAGACTCATTCCTCTTAATGTTAGCTGACGATGCCAAAATTATGAAAAGGATTAGAACAGAAGAGGATTGCTTGCCAAGAAGACCTGAACAAACTGAAGGAATGGTCGAACAAATGATTGTTAGAGTTTAACCCAAGCAAATGTAATGTAATGAAGATAGGTGTAGGGAGCAGGAGGCCAGATACAAGGTATCATTTGAGAGATGAAATTCTTCAAGAGTCAGCGAGAGACCTGGGGGGTTGGTATCACGCCAGACCTGTCCCCTGAAGCCCATATCAAGAGGATAACATCAGCGGCATATGCCAGGTTGGTTAACATAAGACCGGCCTTTAGAAACTTGTGCAAGGAATCATTCAGAACTTTGTATACCACATATGTCAGACAAATCCTGGAGTATGCAGCTCCAGCATGGAGTCCATATCTAGTCAAGTATATGACTAAACTGGAAAAGGTTCAAAGGTTTGCCACCAGACTAGTACCCGAACTGAGAGGTATGAGCTACGAGGAGAGAGACTACGGGAATTAAACCTCATGTCGCTGGAAGACAGAAGTTAGGGGGGGGGGACATGATCACCACATACAAGGTTCTCAAAGGAATTGATAGGGTAGATAAAGACAGGCTTTAAGACAAGGAGCATACGCACTAGGGGGGGCACAGGTGGAAATTGAGTGCCCAAATGAGCCACAGAGGTATTAGAAATAGCTTTTTTGGTGTCAGAGTAGTTGACAAATGGAATGCATTAGGCAGTGATGTAGAGGAGTTCCTCCACGCCCTTTTGTTCAGTTCCTTTGCTTCCATACGTTCCCTATTAAACCATGGAGTGTGTGTGTTTATGTTTGTGCGTGCGTGCATGCGCGTGTTTTCTATACCTATAAAAAAGAATATGTAGGTGTCAATCTGTCCCAGGATGAAGATGAAACGATTGGGTCTCGTCTCATCAAACTTTGCAGGGTGACTAGTGCTTGTGAGGTCATAGGCGGGTCGGGGTTGACCTCTATAATATCAACGTCCAGTTTCGCAAAATACCAGACTCCATCCTCACCAAGTTTATTGTGTTCTAGCCCCCAGAATCACGTGAACCCTTGTTCTACAGTGTTACTTAACCCACACACGTACCATAAATGTTTTACAAGATTATACATTGAAAAATGTCTCTTTCCCTCATGGACTATAGTTTATTGGTTACCTTACGATGATTTCTGGGCTTAGCGTCTCCGATCTTTCTTAGCGTGAGGAAAGGGTGTAGTGAAGATGCTTACAGTGATGGTTGTGTGAAGATGATTTTAGTGGAGATGGTTGTATATAGTGGAGATGGGTACAATATGATAGTAGTGAACATAGGGCCTCAGTCACACGAACATGTATATATATATGACTGTTATTGTGTGTGTGTGTATATATATATATATATATATATATATATATATATATATAATATATATATATATATATATATATATATATATATTATATAATATATATATATATATTATATATTATATAATATATATATATATATATATATATATATATATATATATATATATATATATATATATATATATATATATATATATAATATAAAGTTTTGTTTTATTTCTGTATAATATTTTTATATAGAAAATTGTTTGGCATATGTTGTCTATTATTTGATATTAAGAGAAATTGGCTAGAACGCTGTTGTGAATGTTTTATTTTGTCCAAAACATTTTGGTTTTGTCCCGTCATGATGATGGTGTCGAGTCCTGTGATATTCCATCGTGTTATTTATTGTGTGTGTGGTGCTCCAGCACCTGTGAGAACACGATTATTGATATATTCACTAACAGCATCTCAACATACATGCCAAAGGCAAACAAGGATAGCCTGTTGGATCATAGCACTTGGAAGGGGTATCAAATCGGTACAGACAGTTCTTAGAAATATTGCCGGAACAAAGGGAACTTCTTCAAAAACCAATTAGATAAGTTCTTTCAACAAGTGCCGGACGAACCGGGCTGTAGTGGATATGAGTGCCTGCGGGCCGCTCCAAGCAACAGCCTGTTGGACCAAGTTATCACAAGTCAAGCCTGGCGTCAGGCCGGGCCCGGGGAGTAGAACAACTCTAGACACCCTCTCCACGTAAGTCCAAGGGACGAGAGATAATGGAATTGCAGTAGCATCAGTCGGCCGATAGCAAGGATGTGTGGTGCCTACCTTCTGGCTACCTTGTGTAGCTTCCGGGGACCAATGGCCCCGTTGCCCGGTCTCCGACCAGGCTTCCTTGTTGGTCTGGTCAACCAGGTTGTTGAACGCGGCTGCTCGCAGCCTGATGCATGAGTCACAACCTGGTTGATCAGGTATCCTTTGGAGGTGCTTATCCAGTTCTCTCTTGAACACTGTGAGGGGTCGGCCAGTTATGTCCCTTATGTGTAGTGGAAGCGTGTTGAACAGTCTCGGGCCTCTGATGTTGATAGTTCTCTCTTGAACATTGTGAGGGGTCGGCCAGTTATGTCCCTTATGTGTAGTGGAAGCCTGTTGAACAGTCTCGGGCCTCTGATGTTGATAGTTCTCTCTTGAACACTGTGAGGGGTCGGCCAGTTATGTCCCTTAGGTGTAGTGGAAGCGTGTTGAACAGTCTCGGTCCTCTGATGTTGATAGTTCTCTCTCAGAGTACCTGTTGCACCTCTGCTCTTCAACGGGGGTATTCTGCACATCCTGCCATGTCTTCTGGTCTCATGTGCTGTTATTTCTGTGTGCAGGTTTGGGACCAGCCCCTCTAATATCTTCAACGTGTAGATTATTATGTCTCTGGCCGTTTTTAAATTTTAACTGTTTCAATAGCGCAAGAGCTCGAACTTATTTTCATTAAACGTCATATTATTATCTGTGGCCCATTGAAAGACCCGAGTAACATCAGATTGGAGGTTTGCCGTGTCCTGTATATTGTCTACTGGCATGAAGATCCTGGTGTTGTCTACACATGATGATACAGTGCTGTAGTTTGTATCCTTGTCCCTGTCTGATATTACGGTGAGAAAAAGTACCGGAGCAAGCAAGGTACCTTGGGGGGGTGGGGGGGGGGGGGGGTCTGAGCTTTTCCCAGATGATCAGGATTTGACTGTGTTGACTATTACACTCTGCGTTCTGTTGGTTAGGAAGTTGAGGATCCATCTCCCTACTTTGCCAGTAATTCCTTGTGCACGCATTTTGTGCACAATAACACCATGGTCACATTTGTCGACAGCTTTTAAAGTCTGTTTATATTACATCTGTGTTTTGTTTGTCTTCCATGGCACCTAACGCCATGTCATAGTGGTCCAGCAACTATGAGAGGCAGGAGCGCCCTGTTCTGAACCCGTGTTGTCCAGGGTTGTGGAGATACCCTCTCCCTTACCTCAACACGGGTAGGGGATTTGAAGCTCATTTCCTCCCTGACACAAATAGTTAAGAACACCATTGATGACCGGAAGGTGGGGTTGAAGAGCAGACACTCGCCTGTAGCTGGGTACATGTAGGTGGGTACACGGAGGGGTAGCCCCTAATTATGTGTAGGTGTCTCGCATAATAATTAATGTTTTGTCTTCCTACAGGTACGTTGATGGTGGGTGCCCGGCAGGTGGGTGTCCGGCAGGTGGGTGCCCGGCAGGTGGGTGTCCGGCAGGTGGGTGCCCGGCAGGTGGGTGTCCGGCAGGTGGGTGTCCGGCAGGTGGGTGCCCGGCAGGTGGGTGTCCGGCAGGTGGGTGCCCGGCAGGTGGGTGCCCGGCAGGTGGGTGCCCGGCAGGTGGGTGTCCGGCAGGTGGGTGCCCGGCAGGTGGGTGTCCGGCAGGTGGGTGCCCGGCAGGTGGGTGCCCGGCAGGTGGGTGCCCGGCAGGTGGGTGCCCGGCAGGTGGGTGCCCGGCAGGTGGGTGCCCGGCAGGTGGGTGGTGTCAGTACACACACGGGTCGTGGTACTAGATATTGCCGGTTAGAGTAATAATATATATTTGTCAACACACATCGTCCAGTATAATCTAGGCATGAGGCCAGCAGAGGGGTACCCAGGAGTCTACACTTGACACAGCTTGCTACACACAGTTATGACAGCCGACACCTGCTAATGACGAGCCATCACGCGTCACTACTATTCACTGGTCGCAGTGAACGTTATTCACTTTCCCGTGAATGACACATTCATCGGTGTCATACTAATTGTGTTAACATACTGTTTTTTGTCGAGGTCTTGTTTATGGTGGGAGGGGATGGCGTCCCTGGCGGCCCTGGCGCTGTAGTGGCTGGTTGTATATATGTAGTTGCTGCATGTGGCTGTGTGTTGCCTGCCATGTACCACCTGGTCGACGGGCGGCGGTGTGTGGGCGGGTGTGGCCGGGGGGGGGGGGAGCCTCTCTGCCACACCTCGCCTGCTCAACCATCCTCAGAGCCTCGGTCGTGAAGCACTTAGTTGTCTTTGTCACCTGGGTACATCGTGCCTTTGTCCGGGGCGAGGTGCAGGTGGCACTAGGCGCTGGAAGTCCCCTGCGGTGGGGGGGGGGGGGATGGGGGGGGGGGGAGGACGGGCTCGGAATATACCAGTGAATGAGTTTGTCAACATTCCCCTCCTCCTGTTCCCTGTTCCTCCCCCCCCCCTCCCCCCCAGACGCGAACATACACCTGGGGCTCTCTCACAAACCTTCACGTACTCCAATACAAACATTGTTGCCACGGGGCCCAGTCGTTCATACAGGTACACAGAGCCCCCCCCCCCACACACACAGCTCTCCCATCCTTCCCTACCCCTTCTAAGAACACCCCAACAACTACCCTGCCCCCCCTCCAACCCCTCTGCAACCCATCTGCTCCATCCCACCCTCCCACCCTCCAAAGCCCCTTTCCACCCCTCTATCTTCAACCCCCTCTTCACCCCCCCCCCCCCCACCATTGCACCTCGTCTCCAGTATGACACCTCGCGATGCCCCCCCCCCCTCCAGCCTCTGTCCCCCTCACCTCTCCACTGCCTTCAAACACCCATTCCCTTGCCCCACTTTCATCCTGAGCCCCACCTCTCACTTACCCCCCCCCCCCCCTAATACCCCAAAACCTATACCTGCCCCTTGCACACCCTTTTTCAGACTCCCACTCTCATTCTCTCAGACCCACTATGCCCTTCAGACCCCCCTAGCTGCCCAGATGCCGTTCACCCCCCTAGATCTCCCTAATTGCCTAGCCCCCATCTGCCCCCCCCCAAACCCCCTGGCTCCCAGATCCCCTCAGCCTCTCATCGCCCCTCCCTATTCCGGGCACTTCCCACCTCACAACCACTTATTGGAGATAGGACAGCATCCATCTCTCACCTGCAGCACACACCGAGGGGAGACAGGTAGGCAGATGAGCTATATGAACTCTGGTAACAGAGTTTCCAAGAAGAGTCTCAAGGTTTGGTACACCAATGCTGATGGGGTATCCAATAAAGCAGAGGAAATAAAAGAAGGGTTAGTGAAGCAGATCCAGACATAATTGCAATAGTGGAAACTAAAATAAATTATATGATCTCGGATGCAATCTTCCCAAAGGGATACCAAGTGATAAGGAAAGAAAGGACACAGAGACAGGGAGGGGGAGTGGCACTCCTCATAAAGAAGAAATGGAAATTTGAGGAACTAGAGAATCGGGGGACTAATGGAAACACAAGCTCCATACTTGGGATTCTGACAGCAGATGGGAAGAGGATTGTGATCTTGATAATCTACAATCCCCCACCAAACAGTAGAAGGCCCAGACAGAAATATAATGATAACAAAAAGACATGTATAGATGAATTGCAGAGGACAGCAACAACAGCTCAAAGAATGAGAGCAAAACTGATGGTCATGGGGGACCTCAATCACGGAGAGATCGATTGGGAGTCAAGAAATTCCCATGGTGAGGAAGAAACGTGAGGAGCAAAATAAGTGGAAGTTATGAACAGGAATTTCCTAACACAACACGTGAAGGAAGACACAAGGGAAAGAGGAGGGGATACACTAAGCCTATTAGACCTGATTTTCGCCCAAAATAAGGAAGACATTACGAATATGGCACATGAAATACCACTAGGAGCCTGTGAACATTGTGTCCTAGTCTTCGACTACATGATCGAGCTTAAAATTGTGACCACGGGGAAAGAGGTCTGGGAAAGGAGAGTAGAGTATAGGAAAGGGGATTTCAGAAGGATAAGAGAATATCCGGGAGAAGTGCAGTGGGAGGAAGAACTAAGAGGAAAAAAGTGCAAGATATGATGGACTTAATCAAGTGGAGGCCAAAGAGCGTTTATACACAAAATAAAAAAGGGAGGGAATATAAAAAACACATGGTTTAATAGTGCCAGCCTGAGCAGCTCTCGTTGTTAGAAGAGATGACGACCCAAGATGAGAGACTCACGGGTATAGCACTGACAGCAGAGGAGGTAATGAAACAACTAACACTGGATGAAACTAAAGCAGTTGGACCAGACAATGTATCACCGTGGATACTAAAAAAGGCAGCGCAGACCCTCACCGTGCCTCTGGCAAGGATCTATAATGAGTCACTTACGAAGGGAGAGTTGCCCAGTTACTGGAAAAGGGCAAATATGGTACCAATTTCCAAAACAGGAGATAGGGCAGAAGCTCTTAACTTCAGACCGGTATCACTTTACAAGCATCCCCTGTAAAGTACTTGAAAGAATAATCAGGTTGTTATAAATAGTGTGTTGTACCATGGAGGATCTAGTAATAATTATGGAGCACGGTCAGTAGATAGGAACAAGATGCATCCCTAGTAATGGAGATCTTAAAGGCCCGGCCCCCAATGAAAAGGTATGAGTAAACTTATTGTGGTTTATTACTGCAATTGTCCGCCTAGAGGTAGATCATAGATCTCCTACACAGGAAGAATGGATACTCCTTTAACTAACTAACTTACTTATTAACCCCTTAACAACCCCCCATATACATTCACACCAATAATAATAATTACTTTATCACACTATCTTACATTAAAAGCCTTGGTCCACATGGGCAGGATCCAAAGTTTTACAATGAGCACAAGCTAGGGCAAAGTTTTCTAGGCAAGGGACACTAGTAATGACTCTAGGTAGCTTACTGGTACTACTGGAACCCACGTGGTTCCACTGGGACCCCCTTAGAGTAACAGAACAAGATAAACCCTAGTGATCACCTGCTTAATGCACAATAATACTCTACACAGTACTACTTTACACACAGAACATGTTTATGCCAGAGAATGAGGACAATACAGTATACTTATCTTGGTAAACTAGACACAGAAATAGGTAAGAGAAGCGAGAGGAAGGGGAGGAGGTTCTTTTCACCACGACGCCAGCCCAGAGAAGACTGCATCCAGCGTCCCATCCAGGGCTCCCGAGTTGTTGTGGTGCCGGGAAGAGCCTAATTGATCGTGCAGCTATACATATTAAAAGTCTTCACCGATGTACAATATTGTTTACTCGTTCTAAGGATAGTTAATAATTACTACAATGTTATACTTAATCCACAACAAGCTCAAGAGTCTGAAAGCTTTGCGAGCAACAAGATTCGTTCTACGTTTGGCAAGGAAGATACGAACAGACACACGTCGGCAAGCGTGTCAAATATAAGGTAGTTTATTTAGCTCAATTTGACCTCTGGTTTCCAACTGAGGAACCCAGGGTCGTAACACAGGTGAAGACTGGTTACACACCTGGAGAACATTAGGTATGTAAATAAACACCAACATGGGTTCAGAAAAGGGAAATCATGCCTAAAACATCTGGAATTCTATGATAAAGTAACAAGAATAAGGCAGGGCTGAGAAGCATGGGCAGGCTGCATATTCCTGGACTGCCAAAAAGCCTTTGACACAGTATTACACATGAGACTGCTATTAAAATTTGAGGTGCAGGCGGTAGCAAGCGTAAAAGCCTTAGCTTGGGTAAAGTATTACCTAATAGGCAGGAGCCAGAGAGTAACAGTCAGGGGCGAGAAGTCAGATTGGCGAACCGTAACGAGTGGAGTACCTCAAGGATCGGTGCTGGGACCAGTTATATTCTAATATACGTGAACGACATGTCTACAGGAGTAGAGTCCTATATATCGACGTTCGCTGATGAGAAGAGTTGACGAGTTTTTTGAGGATTGTAGGATACTCCAAGAGGACTTGAACACGCTGCAGAGATTGTCAGAGAAATGGCTACACGAGCAAGAGAAATGGAGTTCAATGCCAGCACGTGTAAAGTTATGGAAATGGGACTAGGTGACAGGAGACCAAAGGGTCAGTACATAATGAAGGGAAACTACCTTCCTGTGACAATTAGAGAAAGGGACCTGGGAGTGGACATAACATCAAATCTAGCTCTTGAGGCGCGCACAAATCGGATAACGACAGCAGCGCACTCTACGCCGCAAAAGTTTGAACGTCACTCAGAAACCTAAGTAAAGAGGCATTCAGAGCGCTTGACACTGCCTACGTGAGACCACTCTTAGAGTATGCAGCCCCATCATGGAGCCCCCCCCCCCCCCCACCTAAAGAAACACATTAGGAAACTGGAAAAGGTTAAAAAGAAATTAAGACGCGGGAATTATATGACTGAAGGAATTATATCTGACTACGTTAGAAAAAAGGAGGGAGCGGCGACATATGCGGCGGTGTGTTTGTGTGAAAAAAATAGTTAGTAATTAGTAACAGTTGATTGACAGTTGAGAGGCGGGCCGAAGGAGCAGAGCTCAACCCCCGCAAGCACAACTAGGTGAATACACAGAGGCGCTCATCGCGTGTTTGAACACACGCACTTGTAGTAAAATGTGAATGTACTCGTACACCCTCGATGAAATATTTATAACCCCCCCCCCCCCCCACACACACACAAAATAACTTTACTCGACCACACAACCTCCCACATCACCACAGTGTACACACACCCCTCGCCACACCTCACTACCTCGCACACCTGTACAGCCCCGCCCAACACTCATGCAAGGCTCTACTCATAACGCTCGTCCCCCCCCCCCCCCCTCTCTCTTCAAATATATATATGTATATATATAATATATATAAACGGAAACCATATATAAAATGAAGTCAAGTCACACCATAAAGCAGCTGTCACGACTGTAAGAAAAATGACAGGTTGGATAACAAGGACCTTCCAAACAAGGGATGATATACCAATGATACTTTTTAAGACACTAGTGCTCTCTAGGGTGGAATATTATTGTGTACTAACAGCCCCACTTCAGAGCCGGAGAGCGACCTGGAGAGCGTGCAGAGATCCTTTACCGATAAAATCCACTCCATAAAACATATAAATTATTGCAATAATTTAGATTGCCGTTTTTAAATCTGTATTCTCTTGAGCGCAGGCGGGAGAGATGCATAATAATTTACACGTGGAAAATAGTAGAGGGGCTGGTCCCAAACCTGCACACAGAAATAACATCACATGAGACCAGAAGGCATGGCAGGATGTGCAGAATACCCCCGTTGAAGAGCAGAGGTGCAACAGGTACTCTGAGAGAGAACTATCAACATCAGAGGCCCGAGACTGTTGAACACGCTTCCACTACACATAAGGGACATAACTGGCCGACCCCTCACAGTGTTCAAGAGAGAACTATCAACATCAGAGGCCCGAGACTGTTCAACACGCTTCCACTACACATAAGGGGCATAACTGGCCGACCCCTCACAGTGTTCAAGAGAGAACTATCAACATCAGAGGCCCGAGACTGTTCAACACGCTTCCACTACACATAAGGGACATAACTGGCCGACCCCTCACAGTGTTCAAGAGAGAACTGGATAAGCACCTCCAAAGGATACCTAATCAACCAGGCTGTGATTCATACGTCAGGCTGCGAGCAGCCGCGTCCGACAGCCTGGTTGACCAGTCCAGCAACCAGGAGGCCTGGTTGGGGACCGGGCCGCGGGGACGTGGGTTCTGGGAATCACCGCTAGCTAAGGTAAGGTCGCGCCAGAGATACAAAATACAGAACGGGAATGGGTAGTTGACTAAATATTCCTTGCAATCTTTATTGACAAGAGAACCTTTCAAGCAAACTGTTGAGCCTGGCGCCCCAGGCCAGGTACTGGGTGCACCAGAACTCCCGAAACCCTCTACAGGTATCTCCTGGTAAATACGATATATTAAGGAAAAATAATCCGAAGGCCTTTGCCTACGGAGAGTTATGTCTGGAGCGATGATTGACGCGCTGTGTACCTGTGGACAGTGACACACCACTGACGGCTCTGACGGGGGGGTGGTGCAGCAACACCCCCCCCCCCCCCCGCTCTTCCTGGACCCTGAGAGTTACTAAGAGTTCCTCTACATGACGGAAATGTTACCGAGGGCACTGTTCCTTGGACCTTCATATAACCACCACCATAGTAATAATGTGTTGGTAAACCCACAGAAACAGCTCCTATAGTGACTCCTGAACCACCGAGCACGGTGAACATGACTACCATACACCCTCCCCAGAACCTTCCGCTTCAAAGAAGACTAGACACAACCTGGTCCCTAGCCATGTAGGGATATATGGAAACTGAATTAAGTTCTCTCTTCTGCTACTTTATGCACAAAGAGGATGTAGTTATCACCGCTCCAACAAGCACCACTGAACTACAAAAAAACCTATTTAGCTAGTCTGGAAAGAGCACTTCCTGCGGGGGTCACAGAGCCCTCTGTAACGACCCCCCACACCCCTGGTACAGAGACCAACCCCCCCACCCCTGGTACAGAGATCAACTCACCCCCGGTACAGAGACCAACTCACCCCCGGTACAGAGACGTCACCAGGTACATAACGTCAATCTTCACTACACAAGGAAATCACAACATGATCTTTACATGCGAAAGTCATTTGGAGGAGTGCGGAAGTGAACCAGCCACCTCCTGGTCAACACCAGTCCGCGTGGCATACCTCTAGGCCACGACATACTAAAAGCTATTCAACCAAAGACCCTATTGAGTCCACCAAGGCATTCTGGAGGCATCACCAACTATGAAGAGGCTGTCTATATGTGTGGGAGACGGATATCAACACGACAGAACAGAATACAGATATTGTGGACGACCAAATGGACATTCCCTTAATTATTATTTACTCGACTGTAATAAATTTCGGTTGTGTTAGCGACAGATGCAGCCCAATTATAATTCCTTCATAGGGATTGGCCAACTCAAACACTATTAATTCCTATTAACTAAATAGGCATTTAAACAAGGAATTGTGGAACTAGAAATACTGCCGTAGTTGTTAAGCACGTGATAAATACACAACACCAGAGACCAGCAGTTGGCGCCGCCTCTGTCCATCACCCTCGAAAGATCACACACAAAATATATGAAGATAACGACTGGTTCAATGAACCAAGAAAGCTCGATATTATCGTGTATTTTTTGACTTGGACAGACACACACACGATGTCAGATACAAGCACACGCACACACGAGGTCAGATACAAGCACACGCACACACGAGGTCAGATACAAGCACACGCACACACGAGGTCAGATACAAGCACACGCACACACACACGAGGTTGGATACAAGCACACGCGCGAGAGGGCACACGCCTGTTAGTCTTGCAGACGCAAGAGAGGAAATCCTTGATGAGTCATGGCAACATTCCTGTGGAATGCTCCGACGACCCGCCCTGACGACCCCGCCCTGACGACCCCGCCCTGACGACCCCGCCCTGACGACCCCGCCCTGACGACCCCGCCCTGACGCACCGAGGTATTAACAGGAAGAGACGCTGGTTCAGGTTTACGCCCGTCGTCATGACTGTCCATTTACTTTGTACAGGAGCAGTCTTTCTGCCTTACCTGTCTGCGCACTAGTAAGAAAAATAATAATTCAGTCGAAATAATGCAAGAGCAGGAGTCATTGGGCTGGCCACGCCACAGTCCGGCACGGCCCCGCCCCGCACGGCCCCGCCCCGCACGGCCCCGCCCCGCACGGCCCCGTCCCGCACGGCCCCGCCCCGCCGGCCCCGTCCCGCACGGCCCCGCCCCGCACGGCCCCGCCCCGCACGGCCCCGTCCGGCACGGCCCCGTCCCGCACGGCCCCGCCCCGCACGGCCCCGCCCGCACGGCCCCCGCCCCCGCACGGCCCCGCCCCGCACGGCCCCGCCCCGCACGGCCCCGTCCCGCACGGCCCCGCCCCGCACGGCACGGTCCCGCACAGTACGGTGCCGGCCGGACAAGCCCATAAATAGACATTGTGTTTAATAGATACAGAAGGCGGGTAGGTGTTGTCCATACTGTAACCCGTATTTATAACC